ACTCTCCTACAGTGAAAGCTATTGTCAGAAGTTTTATGAGGAAAACTGGTAATCAGTGTATAAATATATTGAATAAAGATTTCGAAAGTTTGATGATATTACTTGCTAAATGTTTTCGAAGCGATTCTCTAAGAAATAGTTATGGAAGATTATATGTAAGTGAAAATGAATGAAAATTGCTGGTAATACCGGCTGCGAGAAGTGCTAAGAGTATACTGATGAAGTGCTAATGTAATGAAAATGCTCGAAGATTTTAAGGTATATATCTCTCCCACAGGAATTAGCGATGTTAAAGGTTTATAAGACAAACTTCGAATCAGTTATTAGTCATATTTAGGTACGTTTACTCGTAGTAGAAATTGACAGGAAAATGTTTTTGGAAATTTATGAAATACTCACTGTGGTTGTTGCACTGTTGTTGGTCTGCCGGATGGGTTGTGGTTTGTATTTAATGTGTTTATAAATATGTATCTAGAATAGAAAGTAGAAATGAAGTACGTGTTAGTTTAAAGTGAATATGTGTAGTAAAAAGTAAATATATATGAGAAATATGAATGTTTACTGTATTGACATACGAGTTATTATGTTCAATGGTGGAATATCATAGTTTAAAAGATGACATTTACAACATGGAGAGTATACAAAATATTTCATATAGGAATAGAAAGAAAAATGTAAACAAAAACGTTTCAGAATAAACAGGATGTATGTAGGAAAGTCGTATAATATATCGACAAAAAAAATGTAGAAAATCTTTAGTTTTCTTGTTAAATGGAAAAAATCTATTTTACTGATGGAGCCGCTCTTGTTCTGTTCCATCAGGTGCTTGTGTCATTGGTTGTGTCAGGGTCAACACTGCACGTTTAGGTTTCTTGTGTATTAAAAGAGTTTGTAATGTTCGATTTAATAAAGTACCAAGAATAAGTCGTGTATTTTGGCAACGGGATCCTGGATAGACATAATGTTTTTGCCATATTTTACGATATTCTTTTTTAAAACTTAGTACTGGTCCACTTTCAAATGTATAATGAAGATAGATTTGATCTTTGTGTTCATATTTAGTTTGCTTTTGAATGAATTGATCATTTGACTGCGCATTGTTTTTATTTTCTCTTCTTGTTGGCTTGTAAAGTAATGTATGATGTAATTTTTGATAGGTTTCACTATTTAATTCAGTCCATATATCTATAGCATCATTTCGAAGAAAAAATTTTTTGAAATGATGTTGAATGAAGTTTGGTGGATATCCATTGACTAATAATTTCATTTCTATACTTAATCGTTCCATATCAAAATCTTCTACCGTTGAACAGATACGTGCTGCTCGAACTAATGCAGTATTAATAATATTGGCATGAATATGTCTTGGATGATCAGATTCGTAAGGTAGAATATAGGGTTCCGAAGATGATTTATGATAAATTGATGTTTTTAACTGTCCATTATTATTTTCTATTGTTGCATCAAGATATTCTAATGTTTGACTTATCGTAATAGTAATTTTAATGTTTGGATCTGTTTTCATTGTTTCATCAAGTTGTTGTAAAATTTCTTCTTTTGATAAATTTGTGGTCATAAATACATCATCAATATATCTATAAATAGAAAGTGATGATTAATGTAAAAAAGTACATAAGAAAGAATTGGAAACTTACCGTCCATAAATTTCATGATGTTGATGTTGATGTTGAATTAATTTTTGTTCCCATTCTAACATATAAATATTGGCTAAAACCATAGTAAATGGTGAACCCATGGCACCACCTTTAATTTGTCGATAATATTTATCTTTATATGCAAATGAATTTGTATCTAAAACAACAGATGCTAATTTAATAATTGTTTCTACTTTGAGATTTCCAATTTTTCCATTTGTTGAATATTTTTGACAAAATCGTCTTAAAGCAGCAATAGCACCATCACGTGGTATCATTGTATATAAATCAGTGACGTCAAATATAACAAATAATGTTGTTGAAGTAAGATAACCTTTTTGTTCATATTCTTTTAATTTTCGAATAAGATCTGTACTATTGATAAATGTAATATTTTTTGTTACATAATTATATATTGGAGTGAGTAGTTGATCAAGGAAACTAGATATTAGTCTGGCTGGTGCATTGATGGAGGCAATAATAGGTCGAACTGATATTTCAGGCTATGAAAGAAAAAAGCATAGAATAAAATAATTATCTCAAAAAACAAATAACAAATGTTTCACCTTATGAACTTTAAGATTGAAATAAAGATGAGCTAATTCTAATGTTTTTAAATTTGGATACATTTTTGTGTACTGTTCATAAGTAATTTCCTTTCTTTCGTGTAAATGATCAAGTAATAATATTACCAAATGTAAATCATCGGCTAATGGACAAATACCACTGGTAATTTCTTGATAAGCATTTGTTTTATTCATATAATTTTTAACTTTTTCTTCATATTCTTGTGTATCAATAAAGAA